ATCGACTCGATGGCAGTGGGGGCGTGGTGGGTGTATTTCATAATTGTCCTCCCTAAGGTTTTCAGTGGCTAAGGTTTTGGAAGTAGATATGCCAGTCCTTTCTTCTGAGATGAGGTGCCCTCATCGTTCTTGTGAGAAGTGGCTGGTGGGTTCGAACCTTCGACCTTTTGGTTAGCAGCCAGATGCCTTATCTACTATCCCACCAGAGCTCCTTTCTTGCACTAAAGTAAGGCTAAATAAGCACCATATGCAGCTGTTCTGACCTTCCTACAAATTCAACTTAAAGACAAACTTGGGAACCTGACAATGTCATCTGTCACCCAGGCACTGCTGGTGCTAACCAAAAGTTTGGCAGTTCAAACTTGGTTCCACACAACAAGGGCCCATATAAATTAAAGACATAAGAAGCTCTGGTGGTGTAGTGCCTAAGGCATTTGACTGCTAACCAGAAGGTTGGTGGTTCAAGCTCTCTAGCTGCTCCCTGGAAGGAAGATGGGACAATCCACTTCTAAAGGTTTTACTGCCTTGAAAACTCAATGGGATCACTCTAAGTCATAACTCTTCAATGGTGACTCTTCAACTTTAAAAATTAGAGAGGTTATTTAAATTTATGGGAGCTCTGGTGGCGTAGTGCCTAAGACACTTGACTGCTAACCAGAAGGCTGGCGGTTCAAACCCACCAGCCACTCCTAGGAAGGAAGATTGGGCAATCTACTTCTATAATGATTCTGCCTCGGAAACCCAAGGAGGGGTTGCTATAAGTCGGGTCTGACTTGAGGACATATAACAACAACAATAACATTTAAAATTATGTTAGGTTTTCTTATATCACAGCATGCTAGTTTTGGTTAGCAAAACTTGTGATTGCTTGAACCTCCACCCTTTCTGCTGGCAGCTGATCATGTTAATTTGCACCACCTACGGAGTACGGTTCTACTCTGACACACAAGGTCACCGTGAGTCAGAATCAACTCAAAAACTGGTTTGTCTTTTTTTTTTTCCTCCTTGTTCTTTAACATACCAAACTGCCTTAGAAACCCAAGAAAGGGTTGCTATGAGTCGGATCCGACTTGATGGCAGTGAGTTTGGTTTTGGTTTTTCAACATATGTAACGCCTCTTGTTGCAATTATTTGCTGTCTCTAAGTCTCATGGCAGGTATCAAGTGGTGTTATAGCGAAGGCATCTTGAAAGAGGCATCATTTAAACCAGGACTTAAGGGCAGGGTTTTCTTTTTTTAAAAAAACAAAGAACTGGGAGATTACAGGCAGGAGACAGCATCCATATTGCACATGCCTAGGCACAGCATAGAGCCAGGTAGATACCTGACACCAGGTATAGGGGAAAGCAGCTATTGAGAGGAGTTCTGAGCCTGCCCCAGTAACCAGCTAGCTTTAGTGAGTGGACAAGTTGCTTAACTTCCCTGGGCCCCACTTTCCTTCCCATTCTCTGAAGTGTAAAGCCACACATACTTTAGAAGACCTGGGTTCAAATTATGATTGTGCATGACCTTGAACAACTCAGTGGGGAATAGGGAGTTCAGCTTCAGTTTTTTCCTATAGATCGAGTACCACACAGGGTTTTTGTGAGGGTTTTAAGAACGTACGTGAGCCGTTATGCAGTGCCCGCCATGATTCTATTTCCTTCCACACAAGTAGGAGTAACCAACTCTGATCTGGATCCTTTAAATGCCTGGTTTCCCAGCACCTAGCACACTGTCTGCCCATAGTATGAGCTGCTGACAGACTGCATGACCCCTAAAGAGAGACCAGAGTTGAAAGGACTTCAGAAAAAAGTAAAGAGCTGTCGACAGCAGACTGACTTAACTAACTTGGACGCCCAATAAATACGTGTTCCCTTGAACGACTTAATGCAGCTCAGGGATCTTCGCCAATTCTCCCCAAGCATACCTCGGAAGCGGACTGGGTTTTAGATAGTCCTTCTGGCCTACAAACCCAAGGAAAGAGACAGGGCCCAG